CCGCTCAAATGGCTCAAACGCCTCTACCCTCCTTCACTGATTTGGTCTCCAAGGCTGAAAGTTTCGAGATTTTCCAGCGGTCTCTTGACTCATATGGTTCCCCAACTGCTGCTTTTGCAACCACAAATCGAGGCCCCAATCGCCCAAATCCGAGGCAGCCAAACCGCAACCAACAGGGGCGTAATTTCTCTTCAAACCGCGGCAATGGCCGTTCCAATTTTGGGCAGGGACGCCGTCCACCTCGCTGCCAGATCTGCCGGCAAGAAGGCCACTATGCTGATAAGTGCGACTAGAGGTACACACAAGGAAGAAATGGTGTGGGCACCACAGCCCATCTAGCTGAGGCTTTTAACGCCTCTTGCTCTCTTAATGGGCCTGAGCCCAATGATTGGTATCTGGACACAGGAGCTTCAGCCCACATGACTCCAAACCTTTCCCACTTGGATCAAGCAAGTAACTATACGGGTAAGGATCAAGTAATTGTAGGGAATGGTGCTTCCCTACCCATCACTCACACCGGTACCATCTCTCCTACCCCAACACTTGATTTATTGGATGTTTTAGTCGTTCCTCGTTTAACCAAAAATCTCATGTCAATTAGTAAATTAACCTCTGATTTTCCTCTATCTGTTACATTTACTAATAATTGTTTTACTGTCCAGAATCGTCAAACAGGAAGGGTGGTGGCAACCGGTAAAATAGATGGTGGCCTATATGTGCTGGAGCGCGGAAACCCCGCTTTTATTTCTGATCTTAAGAATAAAGTTCTTCATGCTTCTTATGATTTATGGCATGCTCGCCTTGGACATGTTAATCACTCTATTATTTCTTTTTTGAATAAAAAAGGTCATCTTTATCTTAAGTCTTTATTGCCATCTCCTGCATTGTGTACTACATGTCAAATTACCAAAAATCATCGCTTACCTTATACACATAATGAAAATAGATCGCCTCATGTGTTGGGGCTTATTCATTGTAACATTTGGGGCCCCTCACCCGTCAAATCCAATTCGGGTTTTCTATATTATGTCCTATTTATTGATGATCACTCTCGCTTCACTTGGCTTTACCCTTTAAAATTAAAATCTGATTTTTACGATACCTTCATTCACTTTCAAACATTGGTAGAAAATCAACATTCTACACGTATCAAAATTTTTCAAAGTGATGGTGGTGCAGAATTTACTAGCAATCGCTTCAAAGCACATCTTAGCACCTCCGGTATTCACCACCAACTGTCTTGCCCATACACACCTGCTCAAAATGGTCGTGCTGAAAGAAAACATCGCCACGTGACTGAGACTGGTTTGGCCCTTCTCTTTCACTCTCATCTTTCCCCTCGCTTCTGGGTTGACGCCTTCAGCACTGCAGCTTACATTATCAACCGTTTGCCCACACCATTTCTTAACGGTAAGTCCCCCTTCGAGCTTCTTTATGGTTCCTCGCCAAATTATGAAAATTTTCATCCATTTGGTTGTCGTATCTATCCTTATTTGCGTGATTATATGCCTAACAAATTTTCTCCTTGTAGCATTCCCTGTATTTTTCTAGGTTACAGTCCTTCACATAAAGGGTTTTGTTGTCTTGACCCCACTACATCTAGGCTATATATCACCCGTCATGCTCAATTTGATGAAAATCATTTTCCCTCTCATCTCCACTCACAAGCTCAACCTATATCATCTCTCCAAATTTCCAATTTTCTTGAACCCCGTCCCACCGACCCACCTCCCTCTTTCCCTATGCACCATTCTCCACAGATTACACCATCCGGTTCCAACCCGTGTGTTATTTGTACTAACTCAGTAGATGAGTCCTTGCAGGTTCCTCATTCTCTTGCAGGTCCCCCTTCACCGTTGTTGGATCCCAGACTGCCTCCTGTTGAGGCTGCCATTGATCGTTCAGCTCATGCTCTCCCATCCACTCCAACATCATCATTGGGTTCTCATCCCATGATAACACGAGCTAAGGCCGGCATCTTTCGAACTCGTCATCTGGCGGATCTCAGTATCTTGGCACCCTCTGGACTTCTTTCTGCCCTACTTGCTTCTACTGAGCCCAAAGGATTTAAATCTGCTGCTAAGAATCCTGCCTGGCTTGCTGCTATGGATGACGAAGTTCGTGCTTTACAACAAAATCATACCTGGATCTTGGTTCCTCGACCTGTCAACACCAACATTGTAGGTTCCAAATGGGTGTTTCGAACCAAATATCTACCTGATGGCTCCATTGAGCGTCTCAAAGCTCGTCTTGTTGCCAAAGGTTATACTCAGGTACTTGGACTTGACTACACTGACACATTTAGTCCTGTTATCAAGGCTACTACCGTTCGTGTTGTACTTTCCTTTGTTGTTACCAACAGATGGCCTCTTCGTCAACTAGACGTCAGGAATGCTTTTCTCAATGGAAACCTTACTGAAAATGTCTATATGGAGTAACCTCCTGGGTATGTTGATCCACGGTACCCCGATCATGTTTGTCAATTGAAGAAAGCTCTTTATGGCCTCAAGCAAGCTCCTCGCGCTTGGTTTCAGCGTTTCAGTTCCTTTCTTGTTGCACTTGGTTTTGCTTGCAGCCGTGCTGACACTTCTCTCTTTGTCTTCCACCAGCAGTCTGACACTATTTATTTGCTTCTTTATGTTGATGATATTATCATTACTGGCAACAATTCTTCTCTTCTTGCCAGCTTCACTCGCAAGCTCAATTCTGAGTTTGCCACCAAAGATTTGGGTTCCCTCAGTTATTTTCTTGGCCTGGAAGCAACCTCCACTCCTGATGGTCTTAAATAGTCAGTTGACTTTATACGTGAGGACATTCTTACTAGGGCACAATTGCTTGATAGTAAGCCGGTTCACACTCCCATGGTTGTCTCTCAGCATCTGACAGGCGACAGTTCTCCTTTCTCGGATCCCACTCTTTATAGATCACTTGTTGGTGCCCTCCAATACTTGACCATCACTCGCCCAGATATTGCTCATGCTGTGAATTCTGTCAGCCAATTTCTACATGCTCCTACTACTGATCATTTTCTGGCTGTCAAACGCATCCTTCGCTATGTCAAGGGCACCCTTTATTTTGGTCTCACCTTTCGCCCTTCGGCTGGTTCCAGTGCTTTCGTTGCTTACTCTGATGCTGACTGGGTGGGATGTCCTGACACTCGTCACTCCACCTCTGGTTACTCCATCTATCTAGGCAACAATTTGGTTTCTTGGAGTGCCAAGAAGCAACCTACTGTCTCCCGTTCCAGTTGTGAGTCTGAATATCGTGCTCTTGCAACCGCTGTAGCTGAACTTCTCTGGCTTATGCACCTTCTTCAGGATCTCCACATCCCCCTCTCCAAGAAACCAGTCTTGTTATGTGACAACAAAAGTGCCATTTTCTTGAGCTCTAACCCTGTTTCTCACAAACGGGCCAAGCATGTTAAGCTAGATTATCATTTTCTTTGAGAGCTTGTGGTTGCTGGCAAACT